TCTATTTTAAAACAGCAGAAATCTTTCGAAAAATTATTTAGAAACCCCTTGGAGTATTTTAAGGAGTTTTTTTTTTTTTTAATTATCAGCAATTTTTTTGCAATCAATTTTGTTGGAGTTCTGTGATGAATCTTTCGCACTAGAGTTGAAATGTTTGCCAGAAAACTCTTAAAACCCTGTTTCTTGTTGAATTATGATCATAATTCTCGTGGAATTTTTCTTATAATTCATCTGTCATACAAATATCCTCAGAATCACGTAGGGATTTTCCGCAAAGTTTTGTTTTTCACAACTCCTTTTTAAATCTGCTAAAATTACCTAACAATTTAATTTAGTGCTTGCATTCTTCTCCACAGAAATCCTTCCAAATTTATCTAATAATTTCTAAGGATTTCATGTCAGAACAATTCTGGAAATCTGCTCAGAACTTCTCTTTCGAAAACTGTGTGGGAATCCTTCTCAATATTTGTTTGAAATCAACACTTAGACTTCTTTTAAATTTTACTAAAAAATCCAGGGTTTGTCCGCTGGATTCTATAGATTGCTATGTAATTTCAAGTCTCAGAGCGTGACAATCATGACTCCGCGACTCATAAGTATGTTTTTTTTTTCAAATCTGTTATCTTGAAATTTTTTTCAAAATCTCACATTTGAATTATTTTAACTCCAAATCTTGCATCACTGAACCGGAAAAACCGGGAATTTCAAAATGAAAATTCACTTGCCACCCTGGTGTTGTCACATTCCTGAGTTGAACTGAGATAATAATCCATTTCCGCAGTTGTTGCAAAATTTAAGCTGGTAATGGGTATGTGCGTGTTACACCTAATTGCGTCTGACAAAATTTAACCTTGTAGTAGAATCGTGCGTCTGCTCGATCCAGCTGTGTCCAACAAAAATTAATCCTTTGAGCGCATTGAAGTGCCTTTGAGTAAATGTAAGAGTGGTAAAGAGTTAAGCTGGGTTTAGACAAGGCAAGTCATTGATCAACTTAGTTGAATTCAATTGGCTTGAAGAGTTGAGCCTGGTTCAACTTTTTTTTTCAATTTGACTGAGTTGAGCAAATCAGTTTAAAGGCATGGTTTCAACTGAGTTGATCAATTGACTTGCCTTGTCTAAACCCAGCTTTAGGAGAAGATGTTGTTTTTTTCTGAATACTTCTAGTTATTTTTCCTTATTGCTATTCCTTAGCTCAGAGAACTAACTAAATGAGAATTTAGGATAATGATCTTGCTTGGGAGGATTTTGTTTTTGATTACTTGGAGTAGCACTTTTATGATTGAATAATGATTCAAATGTACGTAGACAATGCTTGACAGTAAAGAGTGACTTTATTGAGTATTCTAGGTCTACATTAGAAACCTGGTTAGCTCGTAAAATTAGGTTCTCAGTGAAGTTTTAGTATTGTAATGTTGCTGCTATTGCAATTTAGATGTAATTAACGTACGATTTTCCACTAGATGAATCCGCCGTCGAATAAGCTTTTGGTTAAGTGTACCATCCGGAATAATTTTCTTGCGAAGCTGGGTATCAATATGTACTCAAGGCAAAACAAATATAATAGGATTAAAACAAGTGTTTTATATGTAAAATGCAGAATGACCAGTGAACCGGGAAAACCGGAAAAAGCTGGGAATTCGGGAAATAAACCGAAAGATGATAAATCTGGAACAATATACCTCATCCTATCTTCGAAAACAATTAGATTTCATGACCCGATGACTGGACTAGATTTTCAGATACCAGTCACTTTGAAGAACTATTAAGAGGATTTTTTCCAATACAAATGTCATCAGATTTTAGAATGAATTCTGGAGATAACACCAAGGTATTTCAGATAATATTGTCTAGGGATTTTTAGAACTCCCAAGAGTGAAGAGAATTCCAGGATTCGTGAAAAATACCAAGGGAAGCGAATTTGAGGGTACAATTCCAAAATAATTATGCGAAGGAATTATGAGGAAATTCCGAGGATAATTCAAAGCGCATTCCGAATGGAGTTTCTAGATAATTTTAATGATAATAACATGCAATTTCCAGATGAATTTAAAGGAGATCTCCAAAATAATTCTGAGCAAAATTGAAAGACAATTCTCGGCGGGAGAATTTACTCTGCCCCATGGTATTGATGGGGAAGGGTGATTACATGTTTCGCTAATAAAAGCCAATAGGCCCTTTTCAATGTTTGATCTAGAATCTGAGGCGAATTGCATGGGAACTCTATGGAGAATTTCAAGCTAATTTAAAAATTGGAAGCTCCAAGGTCTTCGAAAGGATTTAAAATTTAAAGAGAATCTAAGGACGAATTTTAAGATTTTTTTTGAGTGTTATACAAAGAATTTATGAAAATTTCCAGAGAGAATTTCAAATTTATTTGAGAAGAATTTAGGAAGGAACTCTAAATCAAATAAAAGCCTGTAAAGTTTTGAGCGAAGACTTCGAACGTTTCGCAGAACCAAATTCAAAATACAGCAAGCTGCTGCTGTCTTTGAAATGACCCATTCAATCACATTCAGTTTTAGGCTAAATTCGTATGTATATCGCTTAACAGGCAGAAAGAACTTCTAAGGGTGAAAAAATTGCCATGCGAAGGACCTATTCTCGTTTCAGTGAGTGAATCGAGTTTAGAAACGGATCATAAACTTGCTGAAAACTTTAGGCGATTAAGCAAGCCTTTTTTGTAGATTTAAAGGGTGATACGGTCAAAATTTGGTCAAGGGAAAACGCGTGTAAATCGGTGAAATCGTTTATTTAAAAAATCAAATTAAATTTCTTTTTCAAGTTCAATTAGTATAAAATTCAGGAAAAATATTCAGTTAGGCTTCCGCTTTTCCAAATCCGAATTGCCGGGCCTTACGCTTGACCCCTGCCATCAGATTTTGTATAGCCACCTTGTCCACCTTGTCCACCTTCTTTAGGTTCCGCTTGACAATAGCCCAGTATTTCTCAATTGGGCGGAGCTCTGGCGTGTTGGGAGGGTTCTTGTCCTTGGGAACCACCTGCACGTTGTTGGCGGCGTACCACTCCATGGCCTTTTTACCGTAATGGCAAGATGCCAAATCCGGCCAAAACAGTACGGAACAACCGTGTTTCTTCAGGAAAGGCAGCAGACGTTTATTCAAACACTCTTTCACGTAAATTTCTTGGTTGACAGTCCCGGAAGCTATGAAAATGCTGCTTTTCAAGCCACAGGTACAGATGGCTTGCCAAACCAGATATTTCTTTGCGAACTTTGACAGTTTCATGTGCTTGAAAACATCTGCTACCTTTCCCCTTCCTTTTGCCGTATAAAACTCCTGTCCCGGAAGCTGCTTGTAGTCGGCTTTGACGTAGGTTTCGTCGTCCATTACCACGCAGTCAAACTTCGTCAGCATCGTCGTGTACAGCCTCCGGGATCGCGCTTTGGCCGTCGTATTTTGTTTATCTTCGCGATTTGGAGTCACTACCTTCTTGTAAGTCGATAGTCCGGCTCGTTTTTTGGCTCGATGCACGGTTGTAGACGATACACCCAGCTTATTTGCGGCATCTCGGAGAGAGAGGTTAGGGTTTCGCTTGAAACTACCGGCAACTCTCTTTGTCGTCTCAGCGGCTTCCGGTTTTCGATTTCCCCCCGATCCAGACTTCCTGACTGTCGACAAACGTTCCCCAAACACTTTAATTACATTTGTAACGGTTGATTTGGCAACTTTTAGCGATTTTGCCAACTTTGCGTGCGAGTAGCTCGGATTTTCGCGATGCGCGAGCAAAATTTTGATACACTGCTCTTCTTGCTTGGACGGCATTTTGACAACTGAAGAGTGAATTCCAAAATCAAAATAGGAGCAACATTCTACACACACACACCTTCAAAATGAGGGGTGTTCAGGTTTTTTAAATGCAAAATTGAAAGAAATACGTCAAGTTGATATTGACCAAATTTTGACCGTATCACCCTTTATATCGACATGGTCGTAGTTTCCTTCACACGTTGAAATCAACCATGCCTGTATTTGTATTTACCTGTTTATATGAAACCGGAAAAAAAACATTGGACACTCGGAAAAACCGAAAAAAATCGGGAATTTAATTTCTCAAATCCAGTGGCCACCAAGGGCGTAGCCAGGCTTCGAGCTAGGGAGGGGCGAAAAAAAAATTACCATGGAAAATTTGGCCGAATGCCATTTCACCGAACGCCATTTCCTCGAAAGCCTTTGTGTTGCCGAGTTTAGGGGGGGCAGTCGCCCCCCCCTGCCCCTATCTGGCTACGCCTATGGTGGCCACCCTGCATCTGAAACATCCGTAAATGCGGTTCATTTGAAAATTCAATCATAGAACAAGACTCATAGACAATTGTCGCGTTTTCCATACGAACTGATTGTCATGTTCTGAACAGTGACTTGGATGTTGACCTCGAATGGCCACAGATTGGTCCTCCAAAATCGTCTTGATGGCAATTGCATGCAGAACTTTCCAACGTTCAACTGGTTGCCCTATCCACCGAAAAGAGGTAGCGATAAAACTTACATTAATTTAATTAATTTGACACTTTAATATCACCCGAAATCTACACACAGCGCAGCGCTTAAACCCCATAAAACATCATCATTATTGTGGGGGACTACATCTTTATCGCCCATCGTTCGCACCGAGTTCCCATGAGGGAGGAAGCGCTATTCTTCCCGAGTGCCTCTCTCCCGTCGGACGCTCTGTCTGGATCCCAAAACCTAATCGGTGTCGCGCATCCGAAATACTTCACACCATCAATTTCCTCCAACCGGCAACGTCTGTCGTGTCGAATGGTGGGCCCCTACAATGTATGACAGAAGCGCATATCGATCGAAAAGTGGTCTGGGTCTAGGAAGTTTGGTGCCAACTCATTGGCCGACATCGCCAGCGGCGGTGGCGGCGCCCGTTCTAGATCGTCTTTCCCAACGTGGACGCACTTACGATTAATCATTTTCCAAGATGCTAATTTCAATTTTCCTTCTCTCTCTCTCCCGCACACTCGAACTCGCTTTCAGAACTGTGTCGAAGAAGACGAAGATCTACGGCGTCGTCTTGGTCCTGGCCCTGGCAAAGGTGAATCAAAAGTTGACATTAATGTGAGCCAGATCAGCGGGAAAGATCAGCATCATCATCAGCAGCAGCAGCAGCAAGAGCAAGAGCATCATCAGCAGTCGTCGTCGGCCCAGAAGATGACATCCGGGATGGAGTTTGGCCGCAGTCCAGACCATCACTCAGAGCTGAAGTAAGTTGGAAAATCTGAATACAAATTGCAATTATTGGGCAAGGGCCAACCATTGCAAGTCGCGTCTGGTTTAATTAATTTATGATTAATTTGTTACACTTGCAATTCGAGCAGGGTGGAGTCCAGATCGTTCAAACGTCTTCTTTTCTTTTGTTTTCCCCTTTAAAAACACACAGCTCCCACTCGCCTCAGTTTGGCCAGAACCATCCGCTGGGCGTCCTCGGGAACCTGACGGCGTTGAATATGAACGTGCAGAATCTGTCCGGGCTAACGGCGGCGGCTGCAGCGGCCGGATTGGGCAGCCTACAACAGCAGCATGGTGACGTGCTGGAAAAATTGAAGATGCAAGTGCGCGACATGAAGGTGGGACTCGGAATGGGGGATCAGAGTGATTTCGCTGCGTTGCATGCCAGTTTCAGTGCTAGTGCTAGTGCTTTGCAGCAACAGCAACAACAGCAGCAACTTCAAGCCGGAAATGGCAGTGTTTTCGGAAGTGGCAGTAGTGGAGGTGGTATCAGTGCTATTGGTGATCATAGGGTTGTGGGACAAAACAGTGGCGGAGGTGGAGGAGGGGGAAGTGCGAACAGTAACGGGGGCAGCTATTCGTTCACATTGCCCAATGCGCCGGTCAGCAAGGATGGTAAGTGGACGGTTATTAGTGTTACACTGAAGGCTTTTTTTTATCAAAAATTTGAATCATTGCCCATAACAAACAATTACACAAAGTTTCATACAAATCGGAGAAGGTCAAGTGTTTCCGACTGGTAATTAAGCGTAAAACTGCTCTGTTTTTAAAATTTGATAAAATCAAAAAATAATTAAAAAAATACTTTTAAGCATTCACACTCAGCATCGGATTTGAGGGCATAACTTTCTAAAATGAAAAAAATCGAAACGGGTTTATTTTTTCGGTTAGATTATACTACATATAATTATATTATTTTTTCATAAGCCCTTATTAAAAATTAGTCCGGAAAACTGACAATTTTTAATGGAACATGTTATCTTGGGTAGCAACATACACTACCCGGCATAAGTATGGATTCGCATAGATACACTCATTTGAATATTGCATCACCTTGAAAAGATTAGCATCTCCCAAGTAAAATGTGTCTCAAAGTGTTTGGAATTACTGCGGAAAGCACTGACTCACATCAGCAGTGTTTTGAATCACTTAGGAAAGTACTTAATCACTTTTGAAGAGTTTGAAATTACATCGGAAAGTACTTAGTCACTTTTGAAAAGATTTAAATCACTTCAGAAAGTACTGAATCTCTTGATAATATCACTTCGAAAAGTGCTGAACCGCTTCATTTAAATTAAGAATCACTTCTGAAAGTAATGAATCACTTAAAAAAATAATTGAATCATTTCGAAACGTAGTTAATCACTTCAGGAATGTTTGGAATCAGTTAGGAAAATACTTTATCACTTCAAGAATGCTCAGAATCACTTCAAAAAGAACTGAATCACTTCATAAAAGCTCGAAATAACTTTGAAAAGCAATGAATCATTCAATAAAATACTGAATCACGTATGTATAAAATTTCAAAGCTCCTTCAGAAAGTAATGAATCACTTTAGAAAAATTTTGACTCACTTTGGAAAGTACATAATCACTTCAGAAAAGTTTTTCAATCACGTTGGAAAGTACTGAAACACTTTAGAAGTGTTTTGAATCGCTTCAGAAAATACTGAACCACTTTAGAAATGTTCGAAATTACTTAGGAAAACACTGATTCATTGCAGAAAAGTTTGTAATCACTTCATAAAAGTTTGGACTTACTTTGGAAAGAACATAATTACTTCAGAATTGTATTTCAATCACTTTGGAAAGTACTGAAACACTTCAGACGTAGTTTGAATCACTTCAGAAAGTACTAAATCACTTCGGAACATACTATATCACTTTAGAAATGATCGAAGTACTGAATCACTTTAGAAATGTTCGAAGTTACTTAGGAGAAAACTGAATCACATCGGAAGAGTTAGGAGTTATTTTGGAAAGTACTGAAAGAGTTCCGGAAATTTTGGATTCCGGAAGTGCTGATTCATTCCAGGAAAGTTTGTACTAAATCACTTCTCAAAGTACTGAAGAATTTCAGAAAAGTTCGGAATCTCATCAGGAAAGTTCAGAATCACCTAGGAAAGTACTGAATCATTGCGGATAGTTTGTAATCACTTTTGTAAATTCCGAATCACTGTGGAAAGTACTGAATCACTAACAAAGTTTGTACTGAATCACTAACAAAGTTTGAATGTACTGAATTACGTCATAAAAGTTAGAAATCACTTCAGAAAGCACTGAATCACGAAAAGGAACTGAATCGCTTCATAAAAGTTTGGACTCACTTTGGAAAGAACATAGTTACTTCAGAATTGTATTTCAATCACTCTTGAAAGTACTGAAACACTTCAGAATGTATTGTATCACTTTAGAAATGATCGAAATCACTTCTGAAGATACTGAAATGATTCACACAAGTTTGGAATCACTTCAGAAAGTACAGAATCACTTAAGAAATGTTCGAAGTCACTTAGAAGAGTACTGAATCACTTCGGATGACTTGGGAATTATTTTGTAAAGTACTGAAAGAGTTCCTAAATTTTTGGGATTATTTCGGAAAGTACTGTTACATTCCAGAATAATTTGTAATCAATTCCGCAAGTACTAAATAACTTCAAAAAGAATTGAACCATTTAAAAAAAAGTTTGGAATCACTTCTGAAAGCACTGAAGAATTTCAATAAAGTTCGAAATCTCATCAGGAAAATTCGGAATCACCTAGAATAGTACTAAATCACTTTAACAAAGTTTGAAATCCCTTCAGAAAGTACTGAATTACGTCATAAAAGTTCGAAATCACTTCAGAAAGCACTGAAAAAGAACTGAATCGCATCATAAAAGTTTGGACTCACTTTCGAAAGCTGTGAAAGAAATTTCAGAATCACTTCAGAGAATACTGAATCATTGTGGATAGCCTGGAATCACTTTTGAAAGTACCGAATCACTTTGGAAAGTACTGAATCACTTTTAAAAAGTTTGAAATCACTTCAGAAAGTACTCAACCACGAAAAGGAACTGATTCGCATCATAAAAGTTTGTACTCACTTTGGAAAGCACATAACTACTTCAGAATTGTATTTCAATCACTCTAGAAAGTACTGAAACACTTCAGACGTATTTTCAATCACTTCAGAAAGTACTGAATCACTTCGGAATGTATTGTATCACTTTAGAAATGATCGAAATCACTTCTGAAGATACTGAAATGATTCACACAAGTTTGGAATCATTCAGAAAGTACTGAATCACTTTTGAAATGTTCGAAGTCACTTAGAAGAGTACTGAATCACTTCGGAAGACTTAGGAATTATTTTGGAAAGTACTGAAAGAGTTTAAATTTTTTTGGAATTATTTCGGAAAGTACTGTAATTTTGTAATCACTTCCGCAAGTACTAAATCACTTCAAGAAGGACTGAACCATTTAAGAAAAGTTCGGAATCACTTCTCAAAGTACTGAAGAATTTCAGAAAAGTTCGGAATCACCTAGGAAAGTACTGAATCATTGCGGATACTTTGTAATCACTTTTGTAATTTCCGAATCACTGTGGAAAGTACTGAATCGGTTCAGAAAGTACTGAATCATGAGAAGGAACTGAATACATGTTAAGACTCACTTTGGAAAGAACATAATCACTTCAGAAATATTTTTCAATAATTTTGGAAAGTTCTGAAACACTTCAGAAGTATTTTGAATCACTTCAGATAGTACTGAATCACTTCGGAATGTGTTGTATCACTCTAGAAATGATCGAAATCACTTTTGAAGGTACTGAAATGATTCACACAAGTTTGGAATCACTTCAGAAAGCACTGAAACACTTTAAAAATGTTCGAAGTCACTTAGGAGAAAATTGAATCACATCGGAAGAGTTGGAATTAATTTGGAAAGTACTGAAAGAGTTCCTAAAATTTTGAATTCTTTTCGGGAAGTACTGATTTATTCCAGGAAAGTTTGTATTCACTTCCGCAAGTACTAAATCACTTCAAAAAGAACTGAATCATTTAACAAAAGTTTGGAATCACTTCTCAAAGAACTGGAGAATTTCAGAAAAGTTCAAAATCTCTTCAGAAAAAAAAAATCAGATTCACCTAGAAAAGTACTGAATCATTGCGGATAGTTTGTAATCACTTTTGTAAGTTCCGAAGCACTTTGGAAAGTACTGAATCATTTTAAAATAAATTGAAATCACTTCAGAAAGTACTGATTCACTTATGAAAAGTTCAAAATCACTTAAAAAATCACCGAATCACGAAAAGGAACTGAATCACTTCATAAATGTTTGGACTCACTTTGGAAAGAACATAATTACTTCAGAATTGTATTTCAATCACGTAAGAAAGTACTGAAACACTTCAGAAGTATTTTAATGATTTGAGAAAGTACTGAATCATTTTAGAAATGCTCGAAGTCACTTAGGAGAAAACTGAATCATATCGTAAGAGTTAGGAATTATTTTGAAATGTAAAGAGCTCCGAAATTTTTGAATTCTCTTCGGGAAGTACTAATTCATTCCAGAAAAGTTTGTAATCACTTCCGCAAGTACTAAATCACTTCGAAAAGGTCTGAATCATTTAACAAAAGTTTGGAATCACTTCTCAAAGTACTGAAGACTTTCAGAAAAGTTCGGAATTTCTTCAGAAAAAAATCAGATTCACCTAAGAAAGTACTGAATCATTTCGAATAGTTTGTAATCACTTTTGTAAGTTCCGAATCACTTTATAAAGTACTAAATCACTTTAAAAAATTGAAATCACTTTAGAAAGTATTGATTTACGTATGAAAAGTTCAAAATCACTTCAAAAAGCTCTGCATCATGAAAAGGAACTGAATCGGTTCATACAAGTTTGGACTCACTTTTGGAAGAACGTAATTACTTCAGAAATGTTTTTCAATCACTTTGGAAAGTAGGTACTGAAACACTTCAGAAGTATTTTGAATCACTTCAGAAAGTACTGAATCACTTCGGAATGTATTGTATCACTTTGGAAATGACCGAAATCAATCCTGAAGGTACCGATTCACACAAGTTTGGAATCACTTCAGAAAGTACTGAATTACTTTAGAAATGTTCGAAGTCACTTAGGAGAAAATTGAATCATATCGGAAGAGTTAGGAATTATTTTGGACATCACTGAAAGAGTTCCGAAATCTTTTCGGGAAGTACTGATTCATTCCAGGAAAGTTTGTATTCACTTCCGCAAGTACTAAATCACTTCGAATAGAACTGAATCATTAAAGAAAAGTTCGGAATCACTTCTCAAAGCATTGCAGAATTTCAGAAAATTTGGAATCTCTTCAGGAAAAAATCAGATTCACCTAGAAAAGTACTGATCATTTTTGTAAGTTCCGAAGCACTTTTAAAAAATGAAATCACTTCTGGAAGTACTGATTCACGTATGAAAAGTTCAAAATTACTTCAAGAAGCCCTGCATCACGAAAAGGAAGTGAATCGGTTCATACAAGTTTGGACTCACTTTTGAAAGAATATAATTACTTCAGAAATGTGTTTCAATCACTTTGGAAAGTAGGTACTGAAACACTTCAGAAGTATTTTGAATCACTTCAGAAAGTACT